CGTTTCTGTTTGTATAAAGCGTGAGAAAATTGTATATACACATGCAAGTACATATATTTTCGTCCTATACACTTATAATTATACAATAAAAATACTCCCATGCCCAGTTTCTTTTGCCTTTCTCTCTTTCTCGTTTTATACAATTTTCAAATTGTATCTAATTTCTCTCTTTCTCGTTTTATACAATTCGATTCAATTGTATATTCTTTGTCAAGTCGCTTTTGTCTTTCTCTCTTTCTCATTTTATTCAAATTTAAATTGTATATAATTGTTCTATACACTTATACTAATACAATTCGTTTTTATACAGTTCTCTACCCAAGTGTCTTTCTCTTTATTGTTTTATACACTTCGTTTTATACAATTTGCTTCAACTGTATATGTATAGCGAATTATACAGTTTCTATGTTTGCTATGGAGCGCAGTTATGCAAATTTTGTAATAGCATACAAGTGTGAATTTTTTATTTGCTATACGTGAAAGTTGCCCAAATAAAATCCTGCCTAAGTTATTGCATGGACGGATCTTTACACAGTTTAGCTATTAGTTGTTTTTAATTGAAGTGATTGAGTGAGCAATTATTTAGGTTAATTATCTAATCATTCGTGAGAACTAGAAGAATTTGTTCCATCTAAATGCAAACATCATTAGAGATTTGCATGAGCTATATATTGGATGGGCCTTGTGGGCTTTCAATAGTGACTGCAAGCAATACTGTTAGTTCAGTGAAGAGAATTTGACACCGTATATAACACATAAATATAAAAGACATGAAAGCTACGTAATTGCGCAAACATTTCATTCATATTTATTAATTCTCCTCCCTATTATTTGGAATAGTCGCATATTATTTGACTAATGCATGATTTCATACTAGATTTCAAGTTAGATACATGTTCTTTGCAACCTCATAAGTTGAAATATATATAGGAAGAAAGGCGAGCAAAAATGGGAAGGCGGCGAGCGAGATTTATCTATGTATCTGAGATACATGTGAATCACACTAACTATCAAAAATATAACATTAGATACTATCTAGGATACCAGATTGTGAGCAAGATAGGAGGGAGACGAGTGAAAGTTGTTTGTGTATCCTAAATACATGCAAATCCACTTAGATATACTGTATCTAAAAAAATTATACCTAATTTTTATTCCAAATATTCGAGATAGGATGTGCTAGATACATATAACGAAGTCCAAAATCTGATAATATTCATATATTACCAATATTATAAATAATTAGCTCCTAAATTAGTATGATTTCAATAAGCTACCAAATATATCAAATAAGCCAACAATTAGTATTAGCAACTATTAACTAAATAATTTGACAACAAATAACTCTTAAGATTTCATTTTCCTCTTTCTTAACATTTTTCCTCAACTTCACCCTAAATCTAATTCTCCCTCAATCCCTCAATTTCCTCATTCATCAAGAAAAAATTTAATAAAAAATAATTGTTTTGGCAGCGATTTGATTTAAAAAAAATTGTTTTAATTTTTTTTTAAAAAAAAGAAGCAAAAAATAATTAAACTTAAGTCGCTGCCTCATCAGCGACATATAAAAAAAAATTATTTTGGAAATCGCTCCGATTTTATTTAATTTTTTAAAAAAAAATCAAATCTAACAAATCACTGCTATTGCAGCAATTTTACTTTTTCCAGCAGACAAAATCGCTACTTCTTGAGCAATTTTGTCGTTTTGGTTCAAAAAAAATTTCATATACCGTTTTGAAATTTTTGTTAACATTTTTCACCCTTTAGCTCCGGACTCCATTGATATACAAGAAAACATATATCAGAATTTTTATTTAGATTCCCAAAGATATATCCAAGCTATCATACAAACATCGAATTGATTTAAAAAAAAACCTTTCGAATTATGATTTTCAAAAGTGGTCGTGCAATTGACCTTTCAAAAGTGATATTGAAGTGTGTTATATAAATACGATAAATCTCGAGATATGAAGGAAATTTTCTTTAGCTTTAGATGTATAGTCCTAACTTTTGGTAATATAAGTCGAGGGTCCAAAGTCCCACGACCCCTAATTTGCCGTGTTTTTGCCTAAATTGATAAATCGTGCTAATAAGGGCATGTTTGGAGTTGGTGTAATTATTATGATAGTACATACTAGCCTAGTAATTATGATAATTTATTTGTTTGCCACAATGTAATTACAATATAATTATAAGTGTACTGTTTGATTGCACAAGTGTAATCATAAGGTTATATTGAATTTTAAAATAAAAATAATTATTTAAAATTAAACATTTTTATTAGACCAACAATGTCATTTATATGGTATTAAATTAAATATTTAAGATATATATTGTCTTTGAAAAATATATTAATTGATAAACATATGTTCTTAACTAACATTATAAAAAATAATTGATTTATATTTTTCCAATTTGGTATACTTAATTAAACTAATCATAAAAAGAAAAAGTAAAAGGTTTCAATGAACATTATGAAATGCATGTTTGACAAAAAGATTAATATTTATAAATATCATGTTATAAAATTATAAAACATTTGAAAAAATATAATCTATCAAGTCTAACTTTAAAAAATAGTTTGCAATGTAAAATATCGAGTCAATACTCCTAAAACAAAATGAAATTGAAAATACAATAGAAGTCCTAAATTCAAAACAAAAATTTAATATAATAGTCTTATGTCAAATTTCAACATAACATACATAAATATGATTTTAAAAGAAAAGAAAAACGTAAGTCCATTACTTTTTTCAATAATGAATCATACTTTAAATTAGAATACTAGTAAAATTATACTAATGAATTTTTTTGTTAGATACTATGAAAAATTGCATAAAATCATAGGAAATAAAATATAAATAATATTAAATAAATAAAATATTTTTAGAAAACATTAGAATAATAAAAATTAAAAAGAATATAAAAATATAAAGTACATTTAAATCAAAAAATAAAAATAAAAATAAAAATAAAAGAAAGAAATTAAAAAGTGGTCAACACGTAATTACCAGCAATTCACAGCCCTCTGTGAATTGAAGTGTGTAATTAGCTATTGCCAATTACATTCAATTACCTAATGACCAGGTAATTTATGAGAACAAAACAATGTAATTACATCTAAATACGCCAAATATAGTTCTTAGGATGATCTCCTAAACATGCCCTAAATAAAACTTAGGCTATTGTCGTCATTAACTGTACCAATTGGTATTTACATGCTCTTTTCTCTTTTGTAATACTAAAGAGCATACGAGAAGAGTAGGGGGTGGCGATGGGGCGGGGCGGGTTTAAGGTTCTGTAGGTTTAACATACATAAAGTCTCAAGAGTGTTCTTTGGAGATTCTTGGAGGCTAGAGGAATATAGTGTTTATTAAGACTGTTAATGACATATACGATGGATACAAAACTTAAAATATGAATACTAAAATAAGATTTGAAATCGTTATAATGGAATTGCATCATGTATATACGTTCATTTTTATTTACTTTAATGATAGATGTATTTACAGAAAAAATTGATACGAAATACACATATAAATAATATTGTGAAAAATACATTTACGAGAAGGAGATGAACAATATAGAGTGTATTCCACCAATAAAATTATGCTTTGTGTTTTGCCCATTTTATATTGCATTTTGAACTCATCCCACAAGATCTTCTAGAATGTTCTAGAATATTCTATAGGCTGCCTGTTGGTTACAGTTGGCTCTTCACTTTTCATTTCCCTCTATACATATATATATATATAATCAGCCTCAATTCTACATGATTCAAAAATCCACCGCCAAAACCCTGAAGCTCTGAACTGACTCTTGAGTTTATCAATGGTGATCATTACCGAATACAATGAGCAAGATGACATACCACCATCGTCCTCACCTGTAGAGGAGGTTAAGGACAAGAACGCTACTAAGGCCATTGAAGAGAACAAGAAGGGGCTTCAAGGTATTTTCTTCTTTTAACAAAATGTCTCATCTGTGTTTTACTTTTCTTCCCTATAGGAATTCTAGGAAATGAGTTATGAATGGACACTACAGTTACATTCTGATTTTCCTAATTTGTGCTTCAATTCCACCCCCTTGAACCCTTGGGTTTCGAGATTATTACTACTCAGAGAAAAGATATAATAGTTATTGATTTGAATCTTGATCTTGAATATCATCTGATATATATTTTTATGATCATTTGAAGCTTCATTCGTGATCTTTAGAATTATATTTGTACAACATTTTAGTGAAAGTTAATGGCTATGTGTTTCCAGATTTTATCATTTGTCAAGTATGTTTTGATTCTAATTTTCTGATAAAAAGAACATACATAGTTTGATTATAGAAAAAAAAAATTAAGAATATCCATTAGCCCATGATTGAAGCCTTACTCTTGCTCTCTGGGAATTTGGAATTTGATAGGAGAGGACTCATGTGGTTTTCATTTGCATTTTACCAATCTACTGAGGGATGGTTGATGTTGTGGCTCTCTTTCGTTTTCTCCTTGTTTGTCGCAGGACTTTGTCTTCTTACCTTTTATTTCATCAGAAGGTTGACTGTATTCAGTTTGAACTAGTATTGCTTTTTCTAAGCTGTATAGCTGTGTATGATTGTGGCATACTGTTTATATTTTTTGCAGAAGGTTCTTTAACACCAATTCTCTGCTATAGCATTATTTGTTGTGTATTTTCTTGAATTTCAAACTCCATATTACACTTGGTTATTCTTTGTTCTCATCATATTCCAACTTTATATATGTTAATAGTGTTACAGAGCAACCTTGTTTGTTTCGCATCACCAGTAGCTTATTCTGCTGATATGTACACAGCTCCCAACATAGGCAATGTCCTTGATCTGGACAACTACTCTTGCGGTCAATCCGTACAGGAGGTTAAGGTGGCCAATAATGCTACTGAGGCAATTGAAGAGAACAAGAAGGGGCATCTAGGTATTTTTTAAAACAAATGTCTCATCTGTGTTTTACTTTTCTCCCCTGGTGTTTTAGAGGTGTATTTAGTTAGAGGCGTGTAGCTTCTGGGTACGAATTTTGGGAAACGAGTTAACACAATGGTTACATACTGATTTTCCTAACTCGTGCTTCAATTCTACTCCCTTGAACCCTTGGGTTTCGAGATTACCACTTAGGAAAAAGATATAATAATTATTGATTTGAATCTTGATCTTGAATATCATCTAATATATATTTTATGGTTTATAAGTCATAAGTAAAGTTAATTTGAGAGCCCAGTTGAAGCTTCATTCATGATCTTTAGAGTTATATTCGTACAACATTTTAGTGAAAGTTAATGGCTAAGTGGTTTCAGATCACTAGCACATGATTGAAGCCCTACTCTTGCTCTCTTGGAATTCGGAATTTGATCCCAGAAGAGTTGTGTGGTTTTCATTTGCATTGTGCCAATCTGCTGAGGGAGGGTTCATGTTGTGGCTTTCTTTTGTTGTCTCCTTATTTGTTGCAGGACTTGGTCTTCTTACCTTCTATGTCATCAGAAGGTTGACTGTATTCAGTTTGAACTAGTATTGCTTTTTCTAAGCTTTGTAGGTGTGTATGATTGTGGCATACTGTTTATATTTTTCGCAGGTGGTCTTTTAACACTAATTGTCTGCTATAGCATTATTTGTTGTGTATTTTCTTGACTTTCAAACTCCATATTACACTTGGTTATTCTCTGTTCTCATCATATTCTAACTTTATAAACAACCTTGTTTGTTTTGCATCACCAGTAGCTTATTGCTCTTTCTGCTGATATGTACACAGCTCCCACCATAGGCAATGGCCTTGATCTGGACAACTACTCTTGCGGTCAATCTGTACAGGAGGTTAAGGAGGCCAATAATGCTACTGAGGTCCTTGAAGAGAACAAGAAGGGGCCTCTAGGTATTTTCTTAAACAAATTGTCATCTGTGTTTTACTTTTCTCCCCTGGTGTTTTAGAGGCGTGTAGCTTTTGGGTACGAATTTTGGGAAATTTGTTAACACAATGGTTACATGATGATTATCCTAACTCGTGCTTCAATTCCACTCCCTTGAACCCTTGGGTTTCGAGATTACCACTTAGTGAAAAAGATATAATGATTATTGATTTGAATCTTGATCTTGAATATCATCTGATATATATTTTTATGGTTATTAGTCATAAGTTTATTTGAGTTCGATTTGTAAAGCAATAATAGTTGATGGCTAAGTCGTTTCAAATGTTTGCACTTATCAAGTGTGTTTAGAGCCTAATGTTCTGAAAACAAATAAGTGTATCAAATAGCCCAGTTGAAGCTTTCATCCGTGATCTTTAAAGTTATATTCGTACAACATTTTAGTGTAAGTTAATGGCTAAGTGGTTTCAGATCATTTGCACATGATTGAAGCCCTGCTTCTTGCTCTCTTGGAATTCAGAATTTGATAGCAGAGGACTTATGTGGTTTATATTTGCATTGTGCCAATCTGTCGCTGGACTTGGTTTTCTTACCTTTTATGTCATCAGAAGGTTGACCGTATTCAGTTTGAACTAGTATTCTTTTTCTAAGCTGTGTAGGTGTGTACGTTTGTGGTATACTGTTTATATTTTTTGCAGAAGGTCCTTTAACTCCAATTCTCTGCTATACATTGTTCATTGTCTATTTTCTTGAAATTCCGAACTCCATATTACACTTGGTTATTCTTTGTTCTCATCATATTCCAACTTTATATGTTAATTGGTGTTACCAAACAACCTTGTTTCTTTTGCATTACCAGTAGCTTATTGCTCTTTCTGCTGATATGTACACAGCTCCCAACATAGACAATGGCCTTGATCTGGACAACTACTGTTGGGGTCAATCATTACAGGAGGTTTATGTCAATATTCTTGTACCTCAGGGAACAAAATCACGGTTTATTGTTTGCGATATAAAAAGGAACCATCTTACAGTTGGACTAAAGGGTCAGCCTCCAATAGTTGATGTTAGTGTGTTCTCCTGTTTCTTGTCATTCAGAGATATCATTTCCTGTTTTTCCATTTCAAAATGTGTAAGATTTGTATGATTTCCTTCTGAGCCTGTACATTAACATTCAGCCTCTTTGTGGTGGCAGGGAGAACTCTATGGACCTGTCAAAGTTGAGGCTTGTTTCTGGACCTTAGGTAAGTTGCTGTCATGTATTGATGCATGGTTGCTTGAATTTTTGTTCTTTTTACATCTGCTGTTATTAGTACCCTGCAGTTGATCTTCACCATGATACATAGTTTCAGAGTATGGGCATGTCTCTATTAATCCAATAGTTTGCTAGTTGATCTTACTATAATCTGTGCGAGAATAGCTGACACAGCTTTAGTTTGAGGAACATAAGATCAATAACTAACTATTGCCAATATCTTTGCAGAGGATCAGAAATCCATCTCTCTACTCCTTACCAAGATAGACCAGATGAACTGGTGGAAATGGGTAGTTAAAGGTGAACCTGAACTCGATACCGAGAAAGTTGAACAAATTACAAGCCTATCAGAATTGGACCCGGAGACTCGATCTAGTGTTGAAACTGTTATGGTACGGTTTTATCATTAGTTGAAATTGTTCTGCTACGGTAACACCTTTTTATGTCGGGATTCTGGAGTCACTTCATTTTTACTTATATCTACCAAGTAAACCCTCATTTATGGTATTCATATGGAAGTTTCTAGCATCAGTACTGCATAATTTGTGTTTATCCTATATCTTATGAGTCATTTGTTATCCTATATTTGTACAAATTTACCATTACCCTGTGCTGTACTAGTATCCCCCAAAATTTCCTTTTGCATTTGTGAAAATGGGTAACTTGTTGACCCCTTTACTTGACATGCTTAGTAAATGCCCAAAAAAGTACTTCTGGTTTAGTTTGTAGAAACTTAGCATAGAAATGTGTTTATAAGAAAAAACTTCAGATTTGAAGTTTAGCAAGCTACTTTTGAGCCTAAAATTCTTCTAGGATATTTCGGTTCATAATTATGAAATCAAAATGTACATTTGGATTTGAGGTTAGTTGTGAAAGTTTAGTATTGAAGGTGTTTTACAGAAAAACATAAATACTTGGTTATACAATTTTTTTAGTAAGAATCTTTTGTATGGCACAAGAAAGAAACTAAACTCTAAAGGGCCACAATGCTATGACGGGTGATTGTTTGCCTAGAAGGTTTACTTTTCCTATAGCTATTGTTGATGATGCTAAGTTGTGTTTACCAGCTTCATCTGCCCACTAGCCATACTTAATTACTGGACTTGAACATGCTGTTACCTTGGGAGTGGTATTGCTGTTATCTTCATTTTGTAGAAGGGACAAGTCTGGTGATGTTTAATTTACTTGTTTACTGGTTCATCTTCAGGTGAAATTCTTTTTCACAAGAACTGACTTTCTTGTTGTATTTATGGATATTGATGCCTTCTAAATATGTGACGGATAATGTTTCTGCAGTTTGATCAGCGATAGGAAGCAATGGGTCTTCCAACACTAGACGAGATGCAAAACCAGGAGATGGAAAAGTTTATTATGGAAAAGGTACTTCATGATAATGTGTTCTTCTCTCCTGCCCCCTCCCTCGAAGCGTATTCATATTAACTGATTTTGTTCATGATGTTCTGCAGTATCCATGGATGGACTTCTCTAGGGCGAAGAAATCGTGATTCACAGGGTGTTTTGATAAGCGAAAATATTTCTGAATAGACATCTCTTCTTTACTCCGGCTGGACTTCAAGATGATTTTGTGCATATGAGAAACTTATATTGTATAGTGACTTTTGTGTAGGCCAAGGAAGATACTTATGTACTGCTATCGGAGTAATTGATCTAAACAGTTAGTAATCTGAACATGTTCATATTCTAATCCATGCCCTTCCTCTTCTCTATGCTTGTTGAACTTTTATTCTCTTTTGTAGTTCATGTTGAGTTTTCCCTACACTGTTATTGGAATGTGGTGTCCTATACCGCGGTTAATTGTTTTACCTGATTTTCTGTTAGATATTTCTATACGATACGATTCTGTTCATGTTTTAGCAAGTGATCAGTCCACACTCAACATAGCAAAGCAGTGTGGCTGCTTTTGGTTTGACAATAATATATAAATTTTGATCTAGTATTAACTTATTAGCAATATAGTCTCTTCCATTTGATATTTGTCTTGAAAGGTCATCTATCACTTTTCCAGTCACTTATTTAAGCATGGAGTGCATGTTTGTGACAGAAACAGCCCACCTTATATTTTATTCCTTCATGGGCGGTATGAAGCAAATCTCTAATTCAATAACTTATTGAGTTAGAGAAGTCTATTAGACATATAAGAAATTTCAAGTTATTTTTCGACAAATTTTATTTATATGGTAAAAAAACGTTAGTTAAATAGAGTGACCTATCGAGATGAAGTTCTTTCTACTTCAATAAATATCTTAACACCTACATATTACCTTATAGTATAAAAAAAGAAGTAGAGTGAGATTTACGGAACATATCACATTATTTAATTGAAAATGAGACACGTAAAAACAAGTCCAATTTTAAGAAAATCATTTGCCAACAAACACGTGTCTCATAAAATCTCCATCCTCTGATTTTGACAAATCCATAGTATGGTCCCACAAAAGAAAACATACTCTCCACTCAATTTAATGACACGTATACAGTGGTCCTCCCCGAGTTTCCCCCAAAAAAAACGTATCAGTTAATCCAACATCTTTTTGCCACCTGTTATCTCTTATTCCATCACCACCGTACACGTGTATGAAGTTAATTCGTGTAAGCTCTGTCCCACCATCGCCGCCCCTCTCCCCTCCCCCACCCCATTCCCATGTTTTTTCAACTTTCACATGGTCTTTTGTTCTCTTTCCATTTTTGGACCATCGATTTTATTATATTATATTGTAGTAATAAAAATATTTAAAGAGATTATATTATTCTTTATTGTATATTAACAATTTGAAAGATGAATGTATGAAAAAAAAATTGAGTATGTATTAAGCCTCTATTGCAAATAAAGAACAAAAATAAAATTATTAATTCCTTCGTTTAAAAAAGATTGTTCGTGTTTTTTTTTAGTTTGTTTAAAAAAGAATGACTTTTTCTTTCCAACACTTTAAGTTTAGCATATTTAAGACCTCAAGATTAAAGAGCATTTTGATACATTTGACATAACCATTCCAAGTTAAATTAGACTATCCTTATTTAAACGAAGAAAATACATAATAATAAGTAAAAATAAGAGAAAATATTAAAATAACAACACCTATCACACATTTCTTTTAGTATTATTACTTAGCAATGAATTTAAATGTGATAAATATTCTACTTTATGAATAATATAATATTTAAATTAACAATACCATAGAGAGCACCTATACAAATAAGGTGCTATATATCCTCCCATCAGTCACCTACTGGCTGCAATGTGTTTGTCATATTCTCAGCCTTCAAACAATGACTAATGATAAATTTTACAGTGCATCGCCGGAAAATGTTTTCCGGCAAACCACATTGTCGGAATCAGGTGCAATGGAAGATTTTAATCTCAATGCAAAACAGCAAAAGTGCTCTCGCCTTAACGGTAGTCAGCAATTGAAGCGATTGTGCAGGACATTAATGCCTGACATCTCTAGCAGTACCGCCAATGTTGCCATAACCAACTACAAATGCTACAAAAAGAAACGGAATCAGAATATTGGAGTAACGAATGGTGTTGATGAGAAAAACAGAAATGGAGATGAATACAGAGAGGAAAAGGAGGTTGTAGTGTCTCTGTTATTCACTATGAGTACGACAACTTCTGATCATCCCGATCATCATCAGCAGCATTCAGGAAACGGTGTCGTTTTGACCAGAACTTCTAGTAATGTCGATGAAGCGAGCAAGGAAACAGAGGATTTACAATCCATTACGAGATATTCACATGGATCTATCTCTTTGATCGGTGGAAGAAGAGAAATGGAGGATGCTCTGTCAGTGAAGCTGAATTTATTGACGAATTATGATTTTTTCGGTGTTTATGATGGACATGGAGGGTCATGTGTAGCTCATGCCTGCCGTGACTTGTTGCACAAGTTACTGATGGACGTAGTTGTTGAAGAAGATGGGAAATTAGAAGACATAAATTGGGGGAAAGTGATGACGATGAGTTTCTGTAAGATGGATGAAGAGGTGAACAGGATTCATGGGGCGGAAGTGGCGACAATTGGATCAACAGCAGTCGTGGCGATTGTGGGGGAGGAAGAGGTAATAGTTGCCAATTGTGGAGATTCTAGAGCTGTGCTTTCACGAGGTGGAGTTGCATTAGCCTTGTCTAATGATCATAAGGTATTTAGAAAATTTGGAATCTTGCTTTTTAATACGGTTATAACAACTTAGATAGTAATTTTTATGTTCTTTGATCTTGTGATGTTAAAAACATTTAGAGTTACTATAAAAGCGTTGAGAAACATACTTCTTGAGCGAATTAAAAATTAAAGTAATACAAACAAATTGAATGGAAGAGATCAACTAAAACCTGAACTTTTGTCCGTCTATAGGTGCATTTATATGAAATGAATGGAGTAATGCTTTATTTGGTTGTTAATTTTGTAAACTGACGTTCCTGTACACAGCCGGACAGACCTGATGAACTTGAGAGAATTGAGAAATCAGGCGGGAAGGTCATCAATTGGAATGGGCATCGAGTGTTGGGAGTACTGGCTACTTCAAGATCCATAGGTACGTCCAGAATCAAAACAAAATTAAATGATCATGTATTCTAATATCTGTCTGTCTAGGACACAATAAAAACGAAGACGTAATTGATTTTCTTTCTTGATTATTCAATTTGACAAAAAGAGTTGATAATGCAGGGGATAACTACCTAAAACCGTATGTAATACCAGAGCCAGAAGTCACAGTGAGCAAAAGAAGTGATGGAGATGAGTTCTTAATACTTGCCAGTGATGGTCTGTGGGATGTTATTCCCAACGACGTTGCTTGTGATTTTACAAGGAGATGCTTAAATGGTCAGATTAGAAGGTGTAAAAATGGGATTGAGCCATCTCAAAATAAGGTCATGAAAGACAATGTTGCAGCAAAGGCAGCATCCTTACTCGCAGAATTAGCGATTTCACGGGGCAGTACAGATAACATAAGCATCATTATAGTTGAGTTGAAGAAATCTTTAGTCAGCGGAGATGGAAATAGTATTAATAGTTAACACTTCTCTTTTTTCCCTTTATAAGTTTCTTGCTTTGTGTCCATTATGGATTGTTTGTACTTTGTATAATAATGTACCTGGACATGAAGTCCTAAAGTCTATCAATTTCATGTTGCACTTACCCTTGAATTCTCTTTGTATATATATTCCAGTCTTTTAATTTCTTGTTCATGAACAAAAGCAAATATTTTCTTGCAAAGAAGCGCAGTGATCTGTGTTGACCAATACACTTACTTACAGGTTTTAGTTCATTTTTTCCAAGTTAATGGATGCACGTATACCCTTATTCAAATAAATGTGGGTGTAAAAAAGAAGAAGATAATGGTTGGTTTTGGGTAAAAAAAAGGATGTAGGTTTAGTTTTGTTTTCTTCTTAATTTAATTAGTGCTCCTATCATATTTGGTTTGGCCACGTATACAAAGTTGTATGTCAAAATTGGATATATTTTTGACCGATGGACTTTTTCTCGGTATATTCGAGAATTTTTTCAGTAATTATTTTTTGATATAGGTTTGCAAATTAGTGAAATTAAAATTTTAAAAAAAGACTTCCCAAATAATTCTTTGGTTGTTTTTGGTCAAAATAATTGGCCCTATTTATTTGTTTTTTGTAGTATGAAAATGTGAGAAGATAGATTAGTGGTACATGTTAATGCCGTATAGGAAATGATGATAGGCTGAAGAATCTTCATCTCCTACACTGAATCTGGCACGCGCCCTCCACACTCCTTATTACCCTTCTCTCTCCTTACTTTCCCATTCATTTTTCCAGTTATACCCAATCCTTTCTAAGGTAATTTCTTTCTGCAATTCTTTAATCTTTCTGTATCCTTTTCTACAAAGATTTCATTTGAAAGTGTTTTTGTTGCTTTTTCCTTTAACGTGTATGCGAACTTATGTGTTAAGACTTGGATCGAATCAAATAGAGTGTTGTTATCCTTTTTTTAGAATGCATCTATAGCAGCTGATTGGCTAACTATACAAGATATCTAATGAGTTCTAATTGAAAATGGTCACAAAATGATTTGGTGTTAACAAGGAGAGTTTCTAGTTGTGTTTACTTGTACAATTTGTGTGTGTAGATAGATGGCTTCAAATCATTTGCATTCATATGGAGTTATGGACCATTAAAACTTAGATATTGTGTTATTTGCTGGTTCCTCTATAGCAAAATCAATTGTTAAACATGACTTCAAGTCTGAAATGCTTTGCTTGTACTTTGCAGATTTTCAATTGTCCTCTGTCTCTAGATGTTGGGTGGTGTAGCTTCTGTTGCCATATTCACCAATCATTCTGCATTGTCAAATAATGTAAGTGATATCCTCTTTTGACAAGGATACTCATATAGCACAAATGTTTAGTTCAATTAAGTATCAGAAAATGAACTTGTGTTGGAGTTTGCGTATACCTTGTGCTAACCTCTGCTAGCTAAAGGTTATCACTCTCCTTTGGTATCTTTGACGCTATGCTTTTCACAGTCCCTAATTATTCGTTGCTATATCATAGTTTCACTCTTTTGTTACATTGTGGGACATTCCTTTCTGCAGGGATTTCAAGTTGCTTCATTCTTGGTTGTTAGCTCTTCCAACCTTTCCAGGAAGTACTCAATTCCACAACCTTTTTTCAAAATTCCTGGCTTTAGGGAACATATTGCCCATTATGTAGCCAGTAATAATGGAAACCTTGCCAGAAAGAACATTGTCTTTGCTATTCCAAATGAAAAGGATGATGCTGAAAAAGAAGGCTCAGATTACTATATTGATTATCCGGTCATCGTCGGTCAGAAAGAAGATGGGAGTTCTTGTGCACCAGAGATGGAAACAACTTTTTCCTTGTTGCCATGTGGTGAAGGTATACTTAGAAGTTATGAGATCAATGGTAAAGAAGACGGCCTACTTGCTAAGCTGATGGCGGTTCATTTGCATGTACTGGCAATGGAACAATGGAACGCTTCCAAACTTAAAATGTCCCACAAGTATGTTTTCTTCAATATTTTTCTTTTCTGCGAAGGTGATAAAATGTATGTACATTTATATTGCAACATGATAAAGTCCTGTTTATCCTCACTATTTTTCGTCTCTCAGACCGCCAAAGGAGAAATACCAGCAGATGAAGTTATGGTAAGACAAAGAAATAACAATGTAAATTGAAACGTGTAGAAAGGATGTGTCTAATGGGAGGGTTATTGTTATAAAAATGAGAACATTGCCAGCATGCAAAATTTAGCCAGTATAACACGGACAATCAATCTTGTCTTTTCCTTTTATCATTGAGGTTGTTTGGTTTCTTTAGGTACTTATTTATTATATCTTGAGTGTTTTAAAATAAACTTGAAGCATTACGCATAATGTGATTAAAGTACCTACTATATATTCAGCTTTTCCATCAGCAACACTACTGCTATTTTCTTCCTGCTTGATCATCTTTCCTGCAACTAACTTGTGGTTCCATGAATGACAGAAAATACTTGGTCAGTGCGACAAACCTGATTCATTATTTGGCCTTGAAAAGCGTCAACATAGAGCAGCTTAAAGAAGAACTTTCTTCCATTTGTTTCCTGAATTTAGACACAATAAATCAACATGTTCTAGCAAGTCTTTCTGCAGGCATCCGGCTGTTAGATAATGTAAAATATGATTCTTCAAGTCATAGTATCTCTTATAGTGAAGGAATCTCTTCAACAAAAAGTCTGGACAAACAAATGAAGGGGGAATTTTCTATCAATACACTAAGGAGGAGGGCATCCCATACTGCGGACCTGTTATTGGGCAGATTGCCAGAGAAGAGAAACACTCATATCATGGTAACAGTGGGTGAAGAAGCTATAGAAAGTGAAACATTAATAAAAGATCTTCTAAATGCTGGAACTACCATTGTTCGTATCAATTGTGCTCATGGAAGCCCTGAAACTTGGAGTGAGATTATCAGAAAGGTGAAAAGAAGCTCTCAAATTCTGGAAAAGCCTTGTCGAATTCTCATGGACTTAGCTGGGCCCAAGCTTCGAACTGGAAAACTGCAGCCTGGTCCATGTGTGTTGAAAATATCTCCCAAGAAGAATGCTTATGGGCAAGTGATATACCCTGCCCTAGTTTGGCTCTCAAGCCCAGGAGCTGGTTCTCCACCTGCCCATGTATCCCCTGATGCCATTCTACATGTGGATGGTGAAGAACTTCTTAGTAAGCTCGAGGTTGATGATGTTGTGACATTATTAGATGCTCGTGGAAAACAAAGGACACTTAAGATCATAAGCAGGCATCCTATTTTCTCAGGCGTCGGATATATGGCTGAGTGCAGTAAGGCTGCTTATGTCAAGTCAGGTGCAAAATTATATATCAAGGACAAGAGAAGGAAATCATCAGCTGGACATGTAGTAGATATTCCTCCTCTCAAGCAGTTTATCAAATTAAGGGTTGATGACTTGCTGAGTATATCACGAGATGGTCAAAATGAAGAAAACAATTTGACTTCTTCCACTGGTGTGCACAGGATAGCCTGCTCATCTGAATATGTTTTTGATTCAGTGAAGCCTGGGGAACCTATTGCTTTTGATGATGGGAAGATATGGGGTATCATTAAAGCAACTAGCACTTCGGAAATTCTTGTGTCAATCACCCATGCAGGTCCTAGGGGTAGTAAACTTGGATCAGAGAAGTCCATAAATATTCCGCGGAGCAATATTCGGTATGAAGGCCTCACTTCAAAAGACCTTATAGATCTTGACTTTGTGGCCAACCATGCAGACATAGTGGGTGTATCATTTGTCCGAGATGTCCGTGACATTCTACTGTTGCGCCAAGAACTTGAGAAGCGGAAAAGAAGGGACTTGGGGATTTCTTTAAAGATCGAGACGAAAGAAGGATTTGAGAAATTGCCGCTCTTACTACTGGAGGCAATGAAAATGCCAAATCCTTTAGGCATTATGATTGCCAGAGGAGATCTTGCTGTAGAGTGTGGATGGGAAAATATGGCATATATCCAGAAGGAGATAATCTCTGTCTGTGCAGCTGCTCATGTTCCTGTCATTTGGGCAACACAGGTCCTGGAGTCGCTCGTCAGGTCTGGAGTGCCTACTAGAGCTGAGCTTACTGATGTGGCAGAAGGAATGAGGTCAGTAATTTCGTTCCCAGTATGCGTTTGTGTCTATATCTGTGGGGGTGGGGGGGATTTTGATTTCTATCTTTCCTTTCGAGGTTTTAGGAATTGAGTAGGGAGTAGAGGAGGTTATAGTCTGTCTGCTTCTTTATTTCCGTGATATTTTGTTGCACTTCCCTGAGTAAGAACAAGGTTAAGAACTAACAGTGAGGAATATATTATTCATTAGTTTGTTTGTACCAAATGCTAAATATACTTAAATTACAATGTGTTGCAACTTCTAACATTAAAACATGACATAACTTATCAAGTCAAACACTTGAATGCTCTTTTTCTGGATCAGTTATTTCTGAAAAAACTGAAATTCTCTCAGCACACACGCATAAGTTTAACTAGTTTTGAGGTGTAGAAACGTGTTAATGCCTGGACATATCATTATACTTCTCATTTGTCAATAATGGATAAAGCTCTAAAGAAAACCAAGTACAAAGAGAACTGGATGATGTAACAAGGCGGCCCTTTTCCATTTGAGGAACCATGAATAATTTGACAATTAAAAGTTAATTGTCAAATTAATTGGACGTTGGAAATAATTATGGAGGTATTATGCCCAACTTTGTAAGAGTAACTCTTCCATTTCTGTTGAACTTGGTATTTGTTTGCTTTAACTGGTACTTGGAAGGACTGCCCATTTTAGTTTGTGGCATGAGGTATGGGACTGGCGTTGAGTAGGACTTACTAGCTCATATACAATCAAGAAGATATCTTTCCTTTAGATCAGTCAGAGTGGTATTTTTTACAAGGTAAAGATAGTTTCACTAAAAGCTAGTACCAAGAAGGTAACTGCGGAAGAGTATAAAAAAGGCATTACAATGACTGCATTACATCATGGAGTTCAAAGCTCAAAACGATGTTCCGTATTCTCTATCCTGTGTTTCCTGCACCACAAAACAGACGGCTGATGCAATTAGATTCCAGTACCGATGTTGTTTCTTCTCTTCAAAACATCTCTTATTTCTTTCCAGCCAAATATTCCACATGATACACTATGGGACATTCCTCCATATATGCTTCAACTGGTTCTGAATTCTCTCTCCCTGCCGACTTGGCATGATGCTCTTAACATCCTTTGGCATCACCCACTGCACACCAAAAACACACAGAAATTATGTCTAAACCTGCCAGGTTGGATCACAAGACAGCAGTAGATGATAGTAGTGGTGTTTCCTGCTTTTCTCAGATAAAAAACATCTGTTATACATTGAAGTACCCCTCCTCTGTATGGTGTCTTGTGTTAAACAAGCACTCTTGGCAGTCAACCACCTAAAACAAGAAACCTTTGGAGGGGCTTTATTTTCCGTGGTCAATCGACCTCCCAATTTCCAGCTTGCTCCTGTAACTTCATGTAACAACTAATTCTCTCAGAGAGTACACTTTTATCAGCGAACCAAATCATCCTAAACTTGCTGTTATCATCCAGTTTAATGGGCTTCAATAATTAAATAATTCATCCACCTCCCAATCATTTTAAATATCTTCTAAAAAGATGAACTTCATCCAGTGTTGGCAAAGAAATAAATCCCTTGTCTAACCATTTATCCTCAAACTATTCTTTCCCGCCTAACCCTTCCGAACAATCTCAAATACGTTCTGTTTTAAACTCGCATTAGAACTGTGCTAGTAACTCGACCTTTTCCCCCTTTTACCTGACAATTTTCTTTAACAGCACGACTATGTTTAATCTGTTTTTTTATTGCAGGACAAATTGTATCATGTTGAACAAGGGTAAATGCATTGTGGAAGCTGTATCTTTCTTACACAGAATATTGAGCAATCACTCCACGAAGTCAAATGCAGAATTTAAGCCTCTTGCTTTATCCAGCCACGACTTTTAGTTGGTTCGACCGTATGAGCAGCTGCTTATATGTTTACCCTACTCGTGTACATATTCTGCTTCACCATGACCGTTTCTTCTGCTATGTACATACATCAATGTTCAGTGAATCAACTAGTATTTCGCAACTGTATCGTTTTAACAGTAGAAGAACAATATGAGACCATGGTTCACATCTTAGAAGAGAATAAGATTCTAGGTGATCTCTTCCTATCAGCCTTAATTTTGATGGGCTACCATATGAGTTACTTGATACCTAGTGAAATAGTCTAGGCGCATGAAAGCTAGCTTAACATTGGCGTTATGCAAGAGAAACAACCACAACCAGTTGCTCATTTATGAAGAGACAAATCCATACCAATAAAGAATTTACAGATCTGGTGCACTCTGATGATCTGGGGCTCAAGTTAAATGGCTTATTCCAAGTCGTAGCATTGGTAACCCAGTTGAAGCCCGAGGACAGAAGCATTAGGCTGAAATCAAGTGTACTAGCACTAGCACAGTCACAATGGATGATAAAGGAGGGGATCGCAGTAAGTTGATGATAACGATCAACGTGAAATTAATCAATGTTAAGGAAATCTTACAACAGTGAATACATGCACAAGAATAAATTAGGTCATCTTGAGGTTGTGGTTTGACCTCAATTGGTTGGATTTGAGGTGTAGTCATTGTTATGGATTCTGTAAAAAATTGGTAAAAGAGTAGAATCATCATTTCTTTTGTACAAATACCATTGCTTTTATTCCAACAAGCCTTTAGGCATGAAGAAATCTCCTATAAGTGTATTATTATGCACAACAAACATGGCCAAAAATACAACTCAAAATCATTTATCGCACATTACATTGACTACTGGCAGTTACTTATCTTCAGCAGTGAAATCTGGCTCTGTTGGTTTCTGAAGCAGAATGGGTGATATCCTGTCTGGCACTCTTGCTTTATTTGCTTTATTTCGTCGCAGAGCGCGAAGTGCATTAGCAGCAAATCTTGATGCATAGATGGTAGCACCAAAACTTGGTGAACTGGAACCTTCCTTTGCTAATGCATCTTGCAATCTGCTTTCTTCTACACGAAGAGACTCTTCTACCTTCTTCCTGCAATAATTGCGCCATGCTGCTTGTAAAAAGCAAGCTGCCCAAGTTCTCCAATGACCTGAATAAAACCTGAAAGTATGGCGGAGCTGCTTACTGTGAAGTCTTCGAAACTGAGAGGCCACAAACTTTAAATCATCAGCCACTAAAGCAAATGCTTCAACTTCTGAGAGTGCTTGTGCAGTTCGGGTTGAGGTAGGTAAGTTAGTTGATGAATGAGGGTCAAGAGCCCAAGTAAGTAGCTCCTCTCCACAAAAATCACCAGCTTTTAGATACTCTGAGTTGAAAAAACCTGTCCTCCCTCCATTAGTGGTTACAGACTGTAGTTTGCCCCTCATTACAAACAGCATCTCATTAACTGGGTCACCTTCACGAACGATGTAGCTGTTCTCGGTGTAGAGAACTGGCTTGAGTCGGTCACATAGTGCATCCAAGAGTTGTTCATCCATTTTTTCAAACATTGGCACCTTAAAATATTCATGCATAATCAAAATCAGGAACTGATAAAGAGATCTTACACTATATTACTCTCGGAAAATCTCACTTGTGTATTAAGCAAAAGGTTCATCTTAGTTATGATGCCAACCATTAGAGAGAGGGATAAATCACATCTGTATTCGCAAAATAAGGGTGAAACACAGTCAAAGAGCAACAGTAACAAAACTTACTCTCATGAGTAAAGCTAAACAAAGATGGCGCTTTATATCTCTTCTGAGATCTTTGGGAAGGTTGTGAATCAGATTTTCTTCCTCAACACCCCTTGTTTCTTGCCACTTATATTGCTCATAGCGCCTAATTCGCTCTCTGAGGTTCTCAGGGAGTAACCGATGTGACATCCACTGTTCTGCATCTCGCCTTTTCACCCTCATCTCCTCTAGTCTCATTGTTGAGGACTGCAGACATGTCTATCACAAACAAGTACATAGCTTATTAGAGCCTGGGATTGTTTTACTCACATATGATGTAACAAAATTTTACAGCAAATAAGTTGATGTTTTAAGTGGACTAAATTAAACAGGTTGCAACATCACAGGGAAAGTAGGTGTCACACACCAGAATGAGAACTCTGCAATACAAGTTTTACTTTCTTGGTAGAATCTTTGATAGATTTTATTTTCATGGCTCGATCATATACTGTCAAGCGTGGCAACGCCACTTAAGAACTTCCAGAACAGTGAATATAAAAATGAAAGCCACAATGCTACCTGCATATTTCCAATGAGAAAGGCAAATAGCACCAGGCCGGAGATGGAAATGAAAACTGCAAAGCAAATTTCCCATACGTAGGTACTTGTTTGGAGATTTTGACCAAGGGAACTGCAACATGAAGGATCAAAGTTAGGTTAGAAAAACTAGAGACAGAAAACTCAAACAAAACGTTTTAAGACACAACTCGGAATTCTAACAGGAGTTCACAGGTGCATGCCTAGACTATCTATAGCGTACAAGGTATTTGTTACCTCCCACCAGAACAGCTTACATGCTTGGCTAGATGAGAAGAAGTCACCTAGTATTTTTTGTCTATGTTGGAATAAGAGTCGTTGGTGCTCTTATTTGTTTAATGTTGTAAACATTTCTATAAAATTATTTGTTGATTTGGCCCAATTCCCTTTTTTAACCCAATTTCTTTGAGAGGAAAGAATTCATCAGTTTCCTACGCTTAAAAATTAGATTCAAGCAGGAAAACCGAACCAAAATTATCAACGGACATGACGTAATGATAACCTAAATTCTTTCACTAGCTAACTCCAAAAAAACACAATGAATTAGGTTACACTTGACATGACGCATTGCAAAGCTAAGTAATAGATAACAGTATACTCTTGCAAACTGTTTGAGCAATTAGATGAGATGGTCACAAATTTCAAACATTATAAAATCAATAAAAAAACCAGTGTTCCAGCATCTCTAAGTCTGTGCTCAAGCTATGCATACCATATGTAAGACACAAGCTATTCTAAAATTGAGTTTCTATCCGTTCCTTCTTGATCTTTAAAAAGATGGTTAATGACCACTACATATACATGCAAATGTGGTTAAGCAGAATGACACTTTTTATAAAGATCTAATAAACATTCTTTTGAATATGCAAAAAAAAAAAAGAATAAGCACAGAGTGCAAGCATACCTTAAGTTCTGTAAACCCCACCAGAAACAATAAAAGAACTTCTGTGGAAAATTCATAGATCCTACAACATCTGATTGGAGAGCGTCAAGGAACATCCCAAAATCAAAGAGCGTTGTGTTTGGTGTCTCTATAGGGCAGGAAATATTCAGCAACGTTTTAAATCCTGTATGATTATCATCACAATACAACGAGGCATGACGACAGGCAGAGGAATTTGCACAAGCTTGTTTCCAGCAAGTAGTTTCACGTTCTATAGAAAACAGATACCAAAAGGCTCCAAGTACCTAAAGAGCAGAAAGTCATTCAAATCTCAGTCTAATGAGTCCACAGAAGTATAGAATAGAGAATGATGTAACTATTTCAGCATACTAGTGATATCTGCTGGTATAGCATAAGCTTGTATGCCAGGAAAAACTTTAATATGGCTGAAAATCTACAAATTTTATTTCTAGGATACCAATTGGTCAATTTTAAATGACGCCTTTCAAATAGAATCATCCATAGGTAACTTCGGGTAGCACAAAATTGAAGAAAAGAGTATGTAGCATATCCATCAGAATGGTAACTCTAGCTTGTTGCAAACTTACGTGGCTGGCAAGCATATAAAGGAATAGATTGAAAGCAGCTCCAGCCCATGCTGTTTCAGTGAGTATGCCAGATGTTCTTGTGACTTCCTTATATAAAGGATAAACTCGAAGGACCCTTGGAATATATTGGAAAAAGACAACAGACTTCAGCAAATTCTTGGTATTCAGGGATCTTGCACCCCGCAACTTAGGGATTATAATTAAAATTACAACCTGAAAATACATAGAAGGATAAGAGTAAACAACTGAACATACACTTCTATTTACAAATAGGAAGTAGGTAAAAGCCAAAATGCAATGCAAGAATGCTCCATATCATGTAAATCTAATATCCGTGATTGAACAAGAATAATCTTCTCACAAGATCTACCAACCATGTGTTATTGCAATGGAATAAGACTTTATTCAATCAAACAAAGAAACAATTTGAGGGAAGTAAGTTGCACCTGTGGTAGTGGTAGAACTGCGAGAATATCAATCAAGAAGTACGTGGACAAGTATCTCTTTGCTATCTCCCAAGCATCTTCAACTAAAACGCCTCTTCCAAATACACGTGAAGAAGGAGCAATAAAACCAGTTCGAAATTGAAGGGCAATATGAAGAAAGTAAAATATATCAGTAAAAGAACGCAAAACACTAGCTGTAACCTCCAATGTTCTGTCTATCCCCAGGCATTTGTTGTCATTATCAATCAATGGAATGTAAAGGAACAAAGGATCCAAGGAGATGGCAATTACACAAGATAATACAAATATTTTGTTCCACTTCTGAAGAAAAGGTCCTTGAGGATCAAGTATGTTCTTGTTGGATCCCAAGCTTTCTTCCACAAAACCACTTAAACTGGATTTTACGGCTTGAATTATGCTTTTGGCCTTCCATTTACCAGGTTCCAAGCCTTTATGTAATTCGTTGGAAGCTATTACAACTTTAGTTCGGTGCACTCCATCCTTATCATGAAAATTTCCTTCAGAGTTTTTCTCTGATTTCCAACCGTGAAATCTGCAAGGCAGCCAATTTGAGTACTAGGAAAACAAGTTGGCAGTATGTCAGCAAATTAGTACACACAGTTATACAAAATCTATGCTTATACTTGAAAAAACTATTCAGATTAACTTGGTTGATCATTTTCATAAATATCAAAGTTACCAATAAAGTAACAAAACATGAATGTGCTTGAACTTTCCTATTAATTTTCTCTTGTCTTCCAATTTCATATAGAGAAGGCCATCCAGGCTTTCAATTTTTTCCCTTCAGGTCCAGAATTAGTTTACTTTCCACTCATGATTCTCTTTAATCGCAGTTAGTTTTATTTACTCCTCTATTCCCATAGCATACATCAAACAGAAACTACTTAAAAGGTGTAACCTGGATTGAGAAAGTAAAAAAAAACTGGGGCTTCCTGAGGTTC